TCTTAACGTCCCGCCCCTCACCTCAGCGCCTCAGCGGCATGTGCTCCGGTTGTATTGTAAACGATGGCGTCGTTAATATCGCTTATCAGTTTGTGCCCAATTGAGAAGCAGAGGATATTATTGAAGAGGATCGTGCAGAACCTGTGCAAGCACGGCTTTTAATGGTAGGCCTATGTTTTTTGCTTGTTGTTGTCTCATACTTTTAGATACGCTGTTATTTGTAAATGCTTTTTATGCTCAAACAGCAACACTACACACTAACTAGCGTTAAAAAAGTGAAATCGCAATGAACCACCCCTTTAAAATCTGAAAACGGTCCTAAGACAGTTCTTTTTTCAGACTGAGCACCCATTCAAGTCCAAAAAGTTGGTTTGGCATAAGCTGCTGTCAAAGCAACGACGTAGAGCGGTGGTAGCCTGTTTTAGGATGACTCCCCTTTACAACCTGCCCAGGTGAGACAAGTCAGGTCACAATCATATATGCCTGACAGTTCACAATCATACAGCATAAGTACATGTTTCTGCACTAGTCAGTCTGTTTCATAGAATGAATTAAAGAGAAAAGGGTGGATTGGAGAAGATATATAAATGTATGCTGTCTTTCTTTCAGGCATAGAGCATGTAACATGTTCCTGGATGGGTATAAGCGAAACTGGATCCGAACCGAAGGATATTCCTTTGAGGACAGAATGATTGATGACCTGTCTGTATGTGCTTCCACATTACCAAAAATAACTGTTGCTTTTTAGCATGAAAGATATTGGGTGGAATACATTTCCTGTTAGTTTGGTTTTTCCTTGTAGTCAAATTTTAGTAACAGAGTTTTGTTTTGTTTTTCCTCACTGATATAGAAAGCGATGGAGGAAGAAGAGGAGGAGGAAGAGGAAAAGGAAACAAAGCCCGACCCTCTTCATCAGCTCATCCTTCACTTTAGTCGCACAGCCCTCACAGAGAAGAGGTGAGATCCCTCCACATCTCTGAAAAGTGAATGACACATTTGGCTTCCGGTGCCAAAATAGATGATCACATGGCCATAACCAGTGTCTGTTATACAGTCAGCTCAAGCTATTCACGTTGTTCACATGGTCATTTGGTGATGTTATATAATTATCTATTATAAAATAAAAACAATTCACAGCTATAGAAAAGGGTATGGAAAAGAATCACCCCCCTTTAAAGGGGTCATATGATGCGATTTAAGTTTTTCCTTTCTCTTTGGAGTGTTACAAGCTCTTGGTGCATAAAGAAGATCTGTAAAGTTGCAAAGACTAAAGTCTCAAATCCAAAGAGATATTCTTTATAAAAGTTAAGAGTCAACCACGCCTACCTAAAACGGCTTGTTCTAACACGCCCCCACATGTCTATGTCACGATGTGGGAAGATTTGCATAACGCCGCCCAAATGTTCACGCAAAGAAAGAAGGCGTAACTTTTATTCTCGCTGTTGTATTGTTGTTGCCGCCTCCGCCATGTCGTGAAGGCGCTGTGTTTTGTTGTGAAAGCAAAACTACTTTGGTTGGCCTTCCAAAAGAGGACGATATCCGCTTCGTCATGCCTGGAGCTGATCCGTGCTGGTCGCTGAGGAAATACATCAACTTCGCGCTGTGGATCGCCAGATCGGCTTTCACCGTGGACGAAGCAAAGTCCAGCCCGGGGTCGTCACATGTAGTTGCCGCAAGCCACTGAAGCAAACAATCAACTATGGGTGGCAAGGCACAGTCAAAAGATCTCTGGGATAAAGTTGTAGACAGGCACAAGTCAGGAGATGGATACGAAAAAATTTCACAGGTTTTATCAATGCCTAGAAGCACAGTGAACTGAAGTCTATTATTAAGAAGTGGAAGGTATTTGGTACATCACAGACCCTCCCTGGATCAGGACGTTGTGCCAAACTGGGTGAAAGAGCCAGGAGGAAACTGTTCAGAGAGGCGACCAAGAGGCCTACAGCAACTCTGAAGCAGTTGCAGGAATTTATGACAAAGAGTGATCATTGTGTGCATGTGATGACAATATCACAAATATCCTTGTATGGGAGGTTTGCAAGAAAAAAGCCACTCAAGAAAGGCCACATGCAGTCACGACTGAGCTTTGCCAAAATGCACCTTGAAGATTCTGAGGTAGATGAGGCTAAAATTGAAATATTTGGCCTCAACACCAAACAATATGTCTGGCGGAAATCCAATGCAGCTCACTATCCAAATAACAGCATTCCTCCAGTAAAGCATGGAGGTGCTAATATCCTGTTATGGGGTGTTTCTCTGCAGCAGGGACTGGAGCACCTGTCAAGATAGAAGGAAGAACGGATGGGGCAAAATCCTGTCAAATTCTTGAGGAAAATCTGCTGGCCTCTGCCAGAAAGTTGTCAATGGGAAGAAGGTTTACCTTCCATGACAATGACCCAAAGCACACAGCAAAACTGACCACACAGTGGTTGAAGGAGAAAAAGGTGAATGTCCTTGCATGGCCTAGTCAGAGCCAAGACTTAAACCCCAGTGAAAATCTGTGGAATGACTTCAAGACTGCAGTAAATTTTTTCTGACATGTTGGTGTTATATCTTTCACTTGGATGTTATAAGTTGCACTGATACAGTTGGATAAAACAAAAACTATGTCCGTCTTCATTTCAGGCTGCAAAGCAACAAAATGTGATTATTTTAAAGGGGGTGATTCTTTTCTATACCCACTGTATGTAATGTTTAGGTTTAGAAGTACTCTATAATTTACAGTGTTCATTAATAATGTAACTGTCAATTATACAGTTTAGCAGTAATTATACAAAGAAATTTGACCACATGATGTCTGTCATCTAAAAATATATCTCTAAATATGTATTTATGATCTAAAAATTAGGGGTGTAAATCGGATGTTTCGTCACGATACGATATCGATTCTCATACCCAGCGATACGATATTTGCCGATACCTCAAAAAATTCTACGATACGATTACGATTCGATTCGATATAGGAGTATATCAACGGATATATCGATATTATGATATTATATATCTATTTTAAAGAACCATCTACATTTTTATTAACTCACAAATGCAACCAAAATATATAACATGAACTAGGGCTAGATGCGGCGCTGCTGCGTTGTTAATTACAAATATTGCGGGAAAAGAGAACATCAATGCGGAGAAGATCTTGTTTACGTCAAAACTGAAACCAAGCCGTTCACACAGAACACATATTTTGTGCATTTTCTAGAAGGACATCTATCAGCGTTGCACTTGCACAAAAGAGCCGCACGTTTAGAAAGCCATGTAAAATTAATGCAAGTTCAACTTTGAAAAAAACATATCTCGAGACTTTATGACGGGGTTTTCTCCCCCATCCCACTGCAACTCGTGTTTTTAAATGCTATTTAAGTACAAAATTCGAATTTAGTATTTCAGCCATTTTGACAGCCCTAACATGAACATTTATCTGAAATTTTTACATCCTGTACCTCAATTGGGACATTCACAACAAAAAAATAGGCCTATACATTTTTTTTTTAAATAATAAAGAAAATAAACAATTGGAAAAACAATTCTGGCTGCTACTATGGGCTCAGTGCTAAAAATCTTTTCTACAGATAACCAAATTACAAGCAATAGCAGAAAATAAATACAATACAACAAAGACACAAGTTCAATAAACAGTGCTTTTCAAGTTTTTCAGCTCAGTCTAAAATAAATTTTCAGGTACGCTACGGAAATGTAATAATCAAATGTAAAATAACTGCATAATCTTCACTGTATATGTGTGCGTAGAACACTTTTCACACAGCGCTCGACTGTTCCGCAAACAATCCCGAGCGTCTTTTATGCGCACCTTGTGCCTTCGGGCAGTCCTTATATCGAGTCCTGATACGTCAGTTTGAACGAAAATGCACGCGTTGGCGGTAATGCATAGTCGGACATTGTGTGAAAATGTGGACAGTGCCCGGTGCCTATTTATACTACAAAGATCGATATTTTACGTGTGGCATCGATGCATCGTAT